CTAGGTTCCTGTTTTCTCATTGGCACAATTAGGTAATTAAGCTAAATAATATCAATAACAGTTCTATGTATCTGTATTCAATGTTTTCTAAAATGATTCTTAATTAGATTACATTATTCTATACATATTCTCTTTACTGTTCCTCCCAGTTATAAATCTCCATAACTATCAATAGCTCATCAAATCATTTCCTTACCTAGAAATGTCAACTGCCAACTCTTTACTTTTTCTGTAGTCCATCCATCCATCCATCCATCCATCCATCCATCCATCTCTTCATTTATTTAACAAGCATTTACTGCATGTTACTACAAATTAGGCCATATGCTAAAAGACATGGTTCCAACATTCAAGAATATACCACTCTAGTGGAAGAGACAGACATTCATGCCATTGATTAAATGAACCCATGAATACATATATAATGAATAACTTTGACAAATGCTATAAAGGACAAGTATAGATGCCTTAATAGCATATAATAGGGAGGTATGGCCTTAATGGGGGAATAGACAAGGGGAAGTCTCCCCTAGAGCAGCACCTTGAACTGAGAGCTGATGGATTAGTGCAAGTCATGTAGACCAAGGGGCTGGTTTGGACCCTCCGGACATAGAACGGCAGCAACAAGCTAGCTAGATGGTACTTGTGGCTGTCTTGTGGTAATGTGCCAGAGGGTTTACCCATCAACTCTTCCAAAACCCTTGGTGAAGATTATCATCATTATTCCCTGCATTGACAAGAAGATATTCAGAAACGCAAAAAGCAAAAATGCTAATTTAGATCCTAAAGAAAGTGCCTGCTGAACTTAGATTTCTCCATTTCTCATCTTGTTAAGTCTTCCTATGTAGCACCTCTCTTTCACTTTAACTTATATCTCGAGGGAGTCACTTGACACCCCTGGTTCTTGTTTTTTTCATTTATTGAACAGGAGACTAGGGTTATATGCATGATTTCTAAGGTCTCTCTCATATTAAGCATTTGATGTTTCTAGAAATACACCTGAGTTAGTGGGGAGGGTGAGAAGAGGCCATCAATCCATCAACACTTATGGCTATATTTTAAAAACAAAAAATCAGCATGCATTCATAATATAAAAAACATTGTAGGAATTGTAGCTATTGAAATGGAGGTTGGATAGAGCTAACATAGTTAATGCATTCAATGTAGAGAAACTACAGTGAAGCGTTTTCTTGGCAATTGAGGTATTTAAAGGCAAAGTAACTCATTTTGATCATAGACTGGTTTCTCTGCTTCTTATCCTCTATGGGTTCTTCAATTATAATTCAGTGTAAAAGGATAAATGGCTGATAAATCCATTTCACTAAAAAAACCCCACAAAGGTCATCCAAAAATATCAAGAAAAGGGCAATCCAGTTGAATCTGAACAAGCAATGGTAGAGGCAAGCTCAGCCTCCATGTGCCCTTGAGTGGCCTGCATATGCCTCAGGATTCCTTTCATCTTACACTGGTTCCTGGGACCCCTCAAGCTCTTAAGTCATTTGGAGCAAGCGGACACCAGAATTTCTAGGACCCTGACATCTGTCAGTCTGAATGCAAATCCTTACATTTCAAATCAGCCAGCTCCTTCTAGAGAAGGAAAAAGGACAATAGCTGCTATTCCTTAGCATGCATAATCAATGCTGCAGGGGTTGCTAGGCAACAGGCAGAAAGGCTTCAAACATCCCTGAGTGTCTCCAATGGAGGAAGAGCAGCCCTGGCAGCCACTCCTCAGAGGTGACAGGCTGTGCAGACTCTGGAAGCTGTGACCAATTTGTTTCATTCCTTAGAAAAATCCCTTTATTTGGCCAGGACTGAACCATGGCTCATTAGATCGTCTTTGAGGTGTCCAATGGGCCCACCACCCTAAAAATGAGCAGGTCAGGCTGGCGAGAGGCAGCTCCAGGAAAGGTCCGTGTGTTGTTTTGATCCAGTTCATCCTAGAGTCTATGGAAGATCTGACTTGTTCCTTGGATGGCTGCAGCCTCTGGATTCTAGAAGTTAAAACAAGCATCCTCTTGGAAGCCTGTAGTCATTCCAGCAAAGCCTCTGATTTCAACAAATATGTACAGTCAAGGTCAGTGAGATGAGACTTCTTAGGTGTGCAACCTTGGAATAAATGTTTAAGCTGTAGGCATGTTGTACACTCTACTTGAGATAATAGTTTCATTTGCATTTCAAGAAGACTAGCAAAGAGAATAAGGCAGGATTTGATAAAGGGGCAAATCCATTTTGTTTTATTTTATTTAGCAGTGTTGATGAAAGAGCAAACATTCTTCATAGGTCATTAATTTGTAAACACTTATTTGGCAAAGCCAGGTAGTGTATGAGGCATAGATTCTGGGTTTGGGTCACAGGTAGAATTAGGGCTATCATGGGGATTTAAACCATAGAGAAGCCTGACAGTGGTGATGGGAGATAGGCCAGGTAGAAGCATGCCATGGGCAGGACAGCTGGCTACACTGCTGTCACTGGCTATTCTTTCGTCATTACTAGCCCAAGCCCTGATGTCCTATCTCAGCACGTGCTTGGGAGGAAATTGCCGGAAACCAATTCCAGCATGTTCAGCAAGGCTGAATCATCTGAAGTGGCAAGGGCATTTCCCCAAACCTGAATAGGATACATTAAATGGATTGTTTGCTGCCAGACAACTAAAGGTCATCTAAATCTACATATTATTGCCTCCTATTGGCCAAACACATAAACAGCCGTAGGCTAATTCCCCCATTCTGACAATGCTTGTGTATACCCTTTGAAGTGTATATCTCTGCCTCACCTCAGGACAAGTTGTGTTAATAAAAAGCAAGGGGTCCTGAGATGAGGGGACCTTAGACCTTAGACCAGAGAACTTAAGACTTAGATCTTAGTTTCTTTTAAGCTAAACTCCTCTGACCCCCAAATGCCTTTCAAAATTATATTTCATCTCTGGACTCCTATTTAATCTATGCACAGCCTTCTCCAGATTTCCTGAACCCTTATTGGTGCTGGAACAAGAACCCCGGCAGGAAATGCATCATATGAGTTTAGGGTACCCTGGATTTAGCTATGCAATATCCCATCCTTAAGGACTTGGCAAGAAGTACTGAGAGGCAATAAGGAATGATATGAAGATGAAAGGCTATACTAAGGAATTTTGTGTATCTGTCTCTATACTAGCTGAGGTCTCTCAGCTACCCCTCCACTGTCACCTAAGATTCCCTAATCTCTCCTGGATTTTTTTCACCTTCAAAGCCTCTCACCTTATGAGCCCATAAAGTGAATTCAGAGTCTGAAGGCCCAACCTAGTCCCCTTGTGGCCCCCAAACAACAGTGGGAACCATGGGCCAGAACATAAATCCACGGTCTTCAGTCCCCTTGTCTATAACACACGGCTGGGTCAGAATTAGATGTTCCCTAAGCTTCTTTCAGTTCTAACATTTGATCAGTGTATGAATCTATAAAAATAGAGGCACCTTTTGGTCTTATTTATCCAAAGGAAAAAAAAAAGATAGCAGGAGAAGAAAGCAAAGACTGCAGATTTAATGCTGCCAAGTGTTCTGAACAATTTGTGCTTAAAAAATAACAAACTTTTTGAGTAAATGGAAGAAAAGAGGAAGCAATCGCAGCAACAGGGATTAAACATCCCAAAGTCACTGCAGGATTCTTACTTTACACCTTGACCCATTTGACCTCAGCTTTCTCCTCCTCACTCCTCCCCTCTCTTTTCTACTGTCTCACCAACCCCATGTGCCTTTCTTAGTGAGGTAATGTTTACTGGATGGCTATTGTATTTCCCATCCTTAGAAAGGTCTGACCTTTATTTACCCCAAAGTGCAAGTGTAAGGAGCCTTTCCTGAGAGTCTAGGAGTGCTGATGCCACTGGGGTTACTTACTTTTGATGGTGAGAAAAGCAAACCCACAGTTTGCATTTCAGTGGACTTTAACAGAAACTGTGTTTAGTCTGCAGGATGGGTAAGTTCAAGAATAATTTTCTCTCTCCTCAGTTACCCATTATGTATATGCTGAATTATTTTAATGCTAAGTAAAACAGTAATGAAATACACATTTGCTTTGAAAAAATCAAATTGATCTGCTCACTAGTAAACAAATGCTATTCGTATAAATATTCTGTGTTTGGCAGAAGCAAAGAAACAAAAAGCCAAAATTCAATCATCTTATATTAAGCTAAAGAATTGCATTTTAGTACATTAGCCATGTCCATATTTATTTGCCACTTAATTGATTTTATAAATAGATGCCTCTTTTAAATGTTTTACAAATGTTATTCAATACCATGGTGTTGTTGTTTTTTTTGTTTTGACAATGCATATGTAAAGATTTACAGAGTCTTTTGTGTTATTTTTATTACTTCTTGTGTTTTAGAGAGCTCAGCGTAAATTTTATCCCTTCAATAATGTTTATTTTATTGAAGACCAGGTCTCCTTTCTGAGTTTCTGAGAAAATGGCTATGATAAAGGACTTTAGGGCTTCTTTATTTTAGTAAAACCTTGTGTCTTCTATGGTGGCAGAATCCACAAGAAATGCCACTCACCCCAGAATAAAATCACACATATACTACATACAATCCTGGGGCCTTGGAGACAGTTGGGAGGGACAAGGTATAACAGAAGATGTCAGTGGAACAGAGGCTGAGAGAGGGAGTGAATTCATAGTCTCCCTTTCGGAACCTCAACGTGAGAACAGGTGCAGCTGAGCTGGACACAAGCACCAAGCAATCAGGGGAGACAGGCTGAGTCTTCAAGCCTTAGCTGGTTGGTTTCTGTCTGAAATTTAGTTAAAATTGACTTGAAAGAATAGCTCAGAGCCTTTTGAGGTGCCCCTAGAAAGAATAGGACACTTGGATATGCCCCAAATATCCTTCCCACTGTCCACTTAGTTAAAAGAGTTTGAACACATCCTTCATAACAGACATGCTCCTGAATTGGCCACTAAAGTAAAAAAGTAACACTTTCAACACATTACTGAGACCGTGGATAATAAGACATTCTGGAGTGTTCTCTTACCTTCACAGCCACCAAGATCTTGTCATGCTCAGGACAGAGGTTATAGCATTCAGCTAGGAACACTTTTCCAAAGGCCCCTTCACCTAGCTCCCTTTTCAGAACAATGTTATGCCGCTTGATGTGCTGAACAACTGTAAAACAAAGAGAACTGAAATTAGAATCAAAGCACACAGAGGGGAGGCAGAGGGTGGGGAGTCTCAGGGCTCATGTCCGGGCTCTTCTCTGCACAAAACAAAGCAGAGGAGAAGCCCAATGTCCACCCTCACAATTGGCTTGCTCTCCAGAGCTCACTTATTGTCCTTGATAGAAGTGAAGTAGGGACTTGCCTGTTGGCTGCAGAAGGTCATTAATGGAGTTTACTGACTAGGAAAGGGGAGAAATGCGAAAGAAATGCACCTTAACGGCAGGCCTCTTTATTACAAGCCAGATATGCTTTGCATCTATTTGTCAGTCACATGTCTAGTGGGGAAAGGAATTTGCGTCAATCATTTCCTTCCTAGGTTGGCTACTAATGATATATCCTTAACAAGATATTGTTTGGCTTTGCCTGGTTTTGAACCTACATAAATGGAATCATACTATATGTATTCTTCCATATCTTGCATCATTCATTCAACAATGTCTTTCAGATTAAATTTTATTGAGTTACAGTGTGTGTAGTAGTGATTACATTGCTTTTACTGCTTTATAATACTCAGTGGGAGGACTGTACTGCCATTTGTTTATCCATTCTATGCTGATGAAGATGCTATACAGTTTCTTTTTAGATACAACTTGATATAAAATGCAAGTGGTGATTAAGGTTTTACTTTAATAGGATTTTTCCCCTGGTAACTCATGTGGTTTGAAGCAATGATGGTTTCCACAGGCCTCTGGGAACTCAGGGTGATAAAAATCTAAAGGTCTTTTATGAGCAACAATATTAATGAGTCTAGGAATGTATATTAATATCTCATGCTCTGGTAGCAACTCCCGGATTGAAGAGGAGAGAAATGTGTTCATTAGGTAGAGTGCCCATATAAAGAGATAAATGTAATTCTTGCAGAGAATTAGCTGCCCTATTTAAATCTAATATTTAACTCCATGGTTGTCACATGTTCACTGGGAATTAAATAGCCACTTGATTTACTTTACACTCTAACCAGATCAAAACAAGTATTTAACTTTTTTATCCCATTTAATTTGCATTTTCTTTTTTTAAAACTTTTCGAAGGAGGAGAAAAAGTTGGTAGGAAATAAGTTTATAGAGCTATGTCAAAAGACCAAATTTCATCATCTCCAAAACTAAAATTGATGAAACCAGTTTTCCCATGTTGACCTTGAAAGCAGTAAATGCCTCTTTTCTTTAAGAAATGGCTAGTTTGTATTAATTTCCTTCGTTGTCTTGGAAAATAATAGATTACATGGATGGTGGCCTTTTGCCAATGTATTCTCCTGAAGCAGAGTTAATCTCTTTTGTAAAATCTGTAGCCCAGGGGCACAGGTAACCATTTGTGTTTGTATCTGCATTCCTGACAGTGTGTCACAGTGCTTTGCATACGGTTGGTGCTGTAAAATATTTGTTGAAAAATGTGCTGAATCATAATAAACAGCAGGCAAACACTGCATAATCATATTATCTCAGTCAATTGACAATCCTATTGAGTACGAAAGCAATAAAGAATTCTCTGAGATGTCAGCAGCACGGAGAACAACTAACCGAGCTAAGTATTTCGTCCCATTCTCCTCCGAAGAGCATCAGTACTTAGCCCCACCTGCCTCCTTCCTGTTTCCTGAAATAAGCATGGAAGTCCTTGGTACCCTCTCAGGGGATCACTTCTTAATCAACCTCTCATCCCAGCTTTGCTCATAAATGTCCCAGGCTGAGTCAATGCTCACCCCTTCACCTCCCTCACAGACCTTTCTTGGAGCCTTCTGGGATTGCTAGCTATCATCCATGAGCTCTTCTTAAATTTTCCTCTACCTCCTTCATTCAACTGAAACTTTGGCCATGCCCTGAGGACATCCATGCCTTTCCCCTACAGCTTTCTCAAATGCAAGCCATCCCCACCCCTTACCTGCAGGTACTTCAGGCCCTTGTGTGTGATTTCTGGCCATTACTCTCTCTCTCTCTCTCTCTCTCTCTCTCTCTCTCTCTCTCTCTCTCTCTCTTTCTCTCTCTCTCTCTCCTGCTGGAAAGAAGTTTATAGAGCTATGGCTAAAGACAAAATTTTCTAAAGCATCTAGCTATCCTAAAGCATCTATCTTAGGGAGCCAGCAGCCTATACCACCTCTGCCCCTCACTGCTGACATCTTGGTTCCTCCTCTCTCACACTGAGCTCCTGGCTGACACATTCCTTCTCCACCCCACCAGTGTCATCATTCTCAGGGTGCAGGGCACAGAGAATGGTTCAGTCACTTGCCTAATCTGTAGAAACACTGGGCCGCCATTTCTTCTGCAGATCAGAGGTGAGGCTCTGTGGGAGTTTTTGGCTGAGTGCATGGCATTAAGGTGACTTTTTCTAGGGCCAAGACTTTCTTAATACAGGAAGCAATGCTCTGATTCTGGACAAGCTCCTTATCTCATTGTTGACTAGCATTTTGAATATCACTGCCTTAAAGAGCCCTATGTATTTGGATTCATTTATACAAAATATCCTGAGTGAAGTGAATCTAAGGACTCTATAACAAATAAACCACCAGGTAAGCATGTCGATTCTTTACACACTTCTTTCCCTGAGGTCAGTCAATTCTCTTCTGAATCTTAGAGACCTGATTAAAATCACATCAAACCCAACACGAATAACTAATAAAAAATAAATAAATGCCCAAACTCCAGCATAAATGGGTTCCTAGATTTGAAGGGAAAAATTGATTTAAAAAAAGCTTTATCGATAAAGTTTCCTTTTTCACCTTCCCAAAAGAAAAGGGGGCATCAATAAGAGGTATACGTGGTGTAGGAAATATACCGCCAAACACATGTGGTCTGCAGGGTGATCTATGTACATCTATATATTCAAAATAAAGTGTGTGATTAGATTATTGTGCAAATAAATTTATTTTGTAAAATCAGGGAGAAACTGATAACGAGCAATAACAATCAAGATGAGCGGCTGTGAACTGTCTAGCCATCTTTGTCATTAATGAAATTTTCCAAAGCGGAAATTTGGTGCCCTTTGTCTTTTGCTTCATGTGGACCAGAGCTGAGTAAATTTCTGGTTCTGTATTAGCATTACATTACAGCCGCTGAAAAACGCATTTTGTCATTAAGTAGCTTCTGTAGTTTACAGAGATACCGACAGTTTCAGATGGTCGAAATTGAATTCCTGGTATTGATATCACCCAGAAGTAAATTTTATACACACACACACACACACACACACACAGGCTATAGATAAAGTATTAATCTGTGTCTATCTATAACCATTACCACTGAACCTAAAAATAAATAATAAATAAATAATTAAATCCCTGTCTACTCAGAGTTGAAGTAAGAAATGTATCCTTCCCGTTTCCCCAGAAATGAGGTTTCATAGAAAACCTTGACCCAGTTGACATGTCCTGCTCAGCACATGGACCTTGAATTGAGACACTTCTTGAGTTTCTCATATATGCCAGCTAATAAGTGATCTGCCTCTCAAAAGAAAGATATTTTAAATTTTTGAACAGAAAGGTAAAAAGTAATATGGATTCAGAAGATAATATTCTGTATTAGGAGCAATCTCTCTACTTCTCTACAGACCTAAATGTAGGGCCAGTTGCCTGCCGGGAGCCGGTCCATGCTTGCTGTTTCAAGGGACCTGGCATATATGGCATACTGTTCTTAATATGTTTGCTCACCTTCTTGGCACTATGTGTTTTAACCAAGGTCTCTGAGAAAGGTTGTTTCCCCAGGTAGGGATTTTCCCCTGAAGTTAGGGAGGGAATAAAACCTCTTAACTAAGTGCCAGGTGGGTAATTAATCACTTTAACTACGAACAATCATGCTTAAGCTACATAATCTTTACTCCCTGGAATGGAGATAAGAAACGCCCTAACCTTTGTAATAGAGATTGATAGGATTGGAATCAACTGGTATAAATACAGATGTAACAAGACAGAACTTAGAAGACAGAACCTACACAGAACCTAGAGACAGAACAACTTCGCTGGAGAGAACATGGCAAAAGATCCTGGACTGAACCTGACTACAGAAATTGGCAAGAGAACCTGACTAGAACCTGGTGACTGAACCTGGCTGGAGAACCTGGACAGAACCTGGCTGGAGAACCTAGCGAGGGAACATGGCCACAGAACCTGGCTGGAGATCCTAACCAGAACTTCGCTGGAGATCCTGAACAGAACTTGGCTGGAGATCCTGGCTAGGCTGCTGATGAACTGAACACTGCCTCTGTGTCATTCCTTCTTCGCTGACTCCGTCCACACCTTTGGGGACCCCTGGACCTGCTGGGGTTGGACCCCAGCAGTTGCCTACGTGGTTCTCTCTCAGAGGGCTGGGTGCTATGATGGGAAGAGAATTTAAAGATCTGTGAGGCTGACTCCCTCCTGTTTAACAGCTGACCGGTGAGGCTTGGGGCAGGACAGTGACTTCCTCAGGGCCATACAGCTAGGAGGTGGCCCAACTAGGACTCAGGTGTCCTGACCTTTAGAAGAGCCACCCTTGGACTCTGTAACACAGGCCCATTTGAGACTGAAGGCAGTGAGCGTTTCCTGAGATTAAAATAGTAACAGGTGTTTCATTTAGTTAATTATCTTTTCCAGTAGAAATGTTTCAAACATTCACGTTTATCGTCTGAAATGGGCCAAACATCTCATAACGAAGAATTTCATTAAAAAACAGCAAATAAACATAAAATATGAGTGAGAAAAGCAGGATATAAAAGTTAAATACCTTAGAAAGTGCTTAAGCTTGATCTGAATAAAATTAATAAAAATTATTTCTATCTATCTTGATGTCTGTTTCCTGGGTAGCATATTGAAACAGGTAAAACCATCTACCTTGTAAAAATAGATTTGCGTAAAAGATGGAAACTATGTTTTTGAACTTCATCTACATTTTTATTAAGATACAAGTTGGTATTAAAATGAAATAAATGCAATTAAGACCACAGACATAAAATGCACCAGGACAAGACACGGCCAAATATTCATA